ATGTAAACAGAACGGTAGAACAAAAATAAAAAAAGTTCTACCGCATGTAAAAGAGTCCTTCCGCTAAGAGATAATACAGCTACCGACCCCATGTATATATATATATATATATATATATTCCTTTCATCTGCTACCGTCGTTACTTTTCTTTTCATTCCTTCTTTCGTTTTGCCTCACGGCCTTGTGTTAAATCCATCTGTCCGCTAATAATAAATAAAAAAATGTGGGTGCCAACTACATACAGCACAGCCACGCTATTCAAAAAAAGAAGCGGCAGCAGCCCCAAACAAAAATACACGCATACAACCACAATTTCTGCTCTCCCTCTCTCTCTCTCTATATATATATATACATCTCCCTTCCTCCTTCTTATTTGAATGGGTTCTTATCATCCTCCGCCTGGCGCTTTTTCGTCCAGTACTTTTTGTACTTTGACTGTGCCACGCTATCCTGAAAAGGCGGGCGGTATTCTGCCCATGCCTGGTAGCGAATAAGCACCTCGCCCCATGTCAGGGCACACTTTTCCACAGGTGCCTCCTCGGCCTTTAGTGCCTTGGCAACACACACACGGTGCGCCAGTTGTGCATTCTCCAGATGCTTTTGCAGTGCCTCGCTTGGTGTCATGTGTTTAATGGCATCGTTAGAGACGTCGTGAAAGGCAAATTCAAATGACATGCTTTAAAACTCTTTGGCGACAGAAGAAACCTCGAAACCTCACCTGCAGAACAAATATATATATATATATATATAGAGAGAGAGAGAGACAGAAAAAAAAGGAAAAAAAAAAAAGAAAGAGGATATGCGTGCCACTGTCAGAAATTAACAAAAACAAAAACAAATAAAAGGAAGGTGGACATGTGCGGAAATATCCCACCCTCCCACCCTCCTGTATTCGTTCCTCATGCGGGGAAAAAAACATGGAGGGGAAGTGGTGGGAGAAAAAAAAGAAACCCCGCATCGCCGGTGCTTTCAAAAATACGGTCGTCCCACAGTCCGCATTACTGCACCTCGCAGTCGTTCACTGTGGGTCGTGCTGTTGGCTTTCGTGTCGCGCGGGGTGCAGTAAAAACTGTTGACACGTTCTGCTCCTTGGTGGAAATACTCCTCGCAGCACACAACTCTCTTTTTTCCTCCCCTTCTTCTCCTTCTTTTTCCCCTTCTGCTGCTGCTGCTGCTGTTTTTGTTGTTGTTGCCGTTGGATGATCATCCTCTAACGGCAGTGGGGGTGTCTCCTTTTGTGCCTCCTCCACGGCTAATACGGCGGCCGGTGCATGTTCGGCGGCAAGTAGCTGTGCCGCTATTTGCACTGCCGAGAGTTCACAAAACATCACCTCCTCACGAACGGCAAGGGCTAACGCCTCGCACGATACCCCGTGTCCTCGGCCCATCATATCCCCTACCGTCTCCTGGTTACCACGCATGGCGGCCTGCAAGCAACGTGTTGTGCATTCCTTCCGTGAACGTGGGCAACCTAATCCTTCATGCGGCAACGTTTGACAATGCTTGACTGCGTTAAATACACGTGTTAAGAACCCTACACTACTCAAAACCTGACACAAGAGCTCGTGTGTACGAAGTGATGACGCCGATAGTGGTGGGGATGATGATACGGACACAACAGCAGCAGCAGCAGAAGGAGGAGGAGGAGGGTCGTCCGTACCATGCAAGGGACGTGTAATGGCCTCTTCAAATGCAGCAATGCGTCCTGCCTGCTCCTTCACTTGGAGCTGCAGATCACGCACCTCACACTCCCGATCCTCCAGCTGCTTTTTCAGCATCTCCACTACAGCGTCATTCTCCTTTTTGCGAAAATCGTGCAAGTGTAGGGCGGTGTTTCTGGCACTCAGTTCCTGTAAACGCTGCTCAAGAAGTGCCTCTTGGACGGCATGCGCTTTTAATTGATCCCGCAGCCTCTCGTTCTCAAGCCGATAGCGCGAGAGCAGCGACCGTACATTCGGATCGGGCAAACTGCACGCCGCAGGGTCCAATCGATCCCGCGCGTCGTGCGGGCTCGCTGCGGGTGGTCCATCACTCCGCTGCTGCTGCTGCTGCTGTCCACGCGTGGCATCCCCGGGCAAAAAGAAACTGCAGCCCGTGTGTCGCGGGTGTAAAATGTTCGGCTGCTCTCGCCACATCCCCCGCATGTCGCTTTCACCGCTCCTCCTCCTTCTGTCACTCCTTCTTTCTGCCACCACCACCACCACCACAACAACAACAACAACCCTTTTTTTCCCTTCTCTCTGCGGCTCAGCAACTGCACAATTCCATTCCAGTGGGGTGTATTTGGTGAACGCCACAAAAAAAAGGGGAAAAAAAAAAAAAAGGAAAGAAGAGAAAAATAGAAAAGACAAATAAAAGCAGCGGTAGGCACAGAAACTGAAATAAAAAGAATTAAAAATAAAAATAAAAATGAGAAAAGAAAAGGGAAAAGTCCCACATTTGAGGTTGCGGCACAAAACACACACAAAAAGAGAGAGAGACAAACAGACATCTCCACACTCCACCTACTGTTCAACACTATATATTTCCCCTGGCCACACACAAACACGCATACATAAAAATATATGACTTCCTCCTCCTCCCTCCTCCCCCCCAAAACTTCGCGTCCTTCTCATTTTATTTTTAATTTCATTTTTTTGTTTTTGTTTTTTTGTTTAAATCAATCGCCGTGGGTCCTCCCTCCCTCCCTCCTAATTTCCCCCCTTCTCGCCATACATGCAACGGCACTTTCGCAGAAAGCAAAATAATCCAAACAATAAAACAAAACAAAAAAAAAAAAAAATGAAAATATATATATATATGTAATGTAATGCGATATATATATATATATTAAAGAGCACACTGCTCCTCCAACTCAAATACGCCCCACACACACACACACACACACACACACACACACAAGCATACAAGCATACAAGCATATTACACCTGAAAGTGTCCCTTCATTTCCCCTTTGTTTTTGTTTTTGTTTTTGTTTTGTTCCCGCTGGTGTCAAGATCCGGTGATCTAAAATCGACCAAATATCATATACATATACATATATACATATATATATATGTTTTCTCTTTTCTTCCACTTGTTGCAGGCCCCTTTTGCCTATACTCCGGTGACGATAATCCGGCGAAAAACAAAAAACAAAAACCTCCACTTTCCTTCTCTTTTCTCTTTTCTCTTTCTTTTTTTTTTTGTGTGTGTGTTTTGCACAATCTCCTCCTTTTCTCTATCAACACGCTGCTGTGTGTTAATTTTTTTTTTTTTTTGCTTTCCTTTCTCTACCATCCCTCTTCTGTCCGCCCCCTTTTTTTCCTTTTTTTTTTCTTCTTCAACACCCCGGCCGTTGAGCGGGGTGCAAGCCAGCGGACGATGGTTTGTGCGGATTAAAAACATGTCCGCCCCATGTCGGCATCGCAGGGCGCATCGGTGGCGTTGCGAAAAGCCGCCGTGAGTTCTCCGCCGTCCAGCAGCTTGGAATAGGCGTGTCATGCCGCTTCGTCGCCCGCTGCCGCGTCTCGAGTGAAGAGTCGCCGCTGAGCCCACCCGGCTCGCTCCATGCTGTCACGACGGATGAAATCAACAGATCGGAGACGCCGGAGTACTCAGATGGGACAAGTTCCGGTGATACGCCTGAGTCTTCGGTACAATGAGGGCTAATGGCACGATAGCGGCGCAAGTATTCCTGCCACGAGGTATCTTCACCGCTACTTTCTTCACCTCTCTCTCGCCAAGTCCGGGCCTCTCGCATCCGTGCGAGACTCGGTGCGAAGGTCTTCAATGTTGATGGCAGCACCACATCTGAAAGGTCGAGGAGACAAAACTTAACTGTTCCGTGAAGGGGCACATGCGCCAGAGCCTTGTAATGTTTTCTCGACGCCTCATCTTGTGTAAAGGTGACAATTTCTTCCACAGGGGCATCCACGGTGTTTGGAAGTGGTACCCCACGTGTGTCGGCATCGTCCCGGAGCATTTTAAATGATATGGGGTGCATGTAATACGGCTGTCCCTCCGACTCGCCGTACAAATAATACGTACTTGCTCCGTCCACGTTTGGCCGCTTCGGGGCGATGGGAGGAGAGTTGCGGACGCTTGATTGCGGGGACTGTGCGTTGGTCTCCTGCAGCACCATCTCCAGGGCCTCTTCAGCAAAGCGCAAAACCCCGCCGTCAAACTGCGTCAATGGCCGGGGTTGTGCATTCAGTTGCTGGAGTGCATCCATAATAGCTGTGCAGTCAAGACGGCGCCGTGCACACTCGCTCTCCTCCGTGGCAAGAATGTATCGGCTAAACGTTGCGGATGGTTCATGCAAGAGAGGGAGCGGCAACTCATCCTCCATGGGCGCCGCGTCATGCCAGCGGGGATCGTCCTTTCGCAGCAAAACACAACACCCCCCTCTTCGCTCGAGCAGGGTAAAACCGACACGCTGACCGAGGCACGGGGGCTCAATCGGCCGAAATATGCAGGGCCGCAGCATACCCAGCGTCACGAAGTTGTGGCACACCGGGCAGGTGCGCTGCTTGTTCTCCTGCTTGAGCCTCGATAAATACTGCGACATGCAAGGGAGGCAAAAAACGTGACCACAATCGGCAACACGCGCAGCCGTTGGCGGCTCGAGACAAATAGGACACTGAAATTGCTCCATCGTCCCACGCACCACGACGGCGGTAACCGCGTCCCATGGCGGTGCCGCGTCGCTCGAAAGAAGCATCTCGTTCAGCCGCCGCTTTCCCTGCGGAAGCCCCGGCATCGCCTTCATTTCGTACACGTCGGGCCGAAGCACAAACTGAAAGTTGTGCAGCATGTACGCACGCTTAAGCACGGCGGGGTTAACATCCCGCCGGGTGGCGGCAGCGGCGACGGGGCGGCGGGCAACGCCTGGCGAATCACTCTGCCGTTCGTACTGAAAGTTGCCGATGCCCTTCGCCTCGACCCCGCGGCTGCCCTTCCGGTGTTTGGGCATCGACGTAATCCTTCCTTGCCTCTCTGCCTTTCTCTCTTCCACCACCCCTTTTCTACGGTGTCGTCCTTCCTTTTCTTCTGCCTCCACCCAGTACTTCTCCCACTGCACTCAACGCCGCCTATTTGCGTCCCTCCCACCCTCCCACCAAAAAAAAACAGCAGCAGCAGCAGCGGCAGCCCAGCCTTTCACGTGCACCGCAACAAGCGTGGTTGAAGGGCCACCGGTTCTCCTGCACGCCGACGTGTCCCTCCCTCTCCCTTGTATTCGACGGCAACACACACAGAGAGAGAAAGGAAGAGAAGGAACAGGCGGGGCAAGCGAGTTGCAATTGTCGCCTGCACGAGAGACCGCAGCAACGACCTACCATGTGCAATGTGGTCACAGTCACAACCAACAGGAGTGTGTAGGAGAAAAAGCAAAAAAAAAGAGAGAGAGAACGATGAAGATCAAAAAAAAGAAAAGACGGCAAACAGACATTGGAAGTACCAGTAACGAAAAAAAAAAAAAAGACAACACAAGACAAGGAGGGAAATTTATTCCACCGGCGACAAACCAAAAGTGGAAAAAGAACCAAGAAGAAAAAAAAAAACCGGAAAGTCATCACGTGTGTCCCTCCACCTCTACAAGAAAGTACGTCCCTGCCGTCAATGTGCATCCATGTTGTCGCAATTCCACACGCAGCGCAACGCACAGTGGTTGTCGGTCAGCGCTAAACAATGGCAGGCCGATGCGATGGCGCCATGGAGGCATACGATACGCCGCAAAAACACGAGGAACGGCACTCACAATGTCAAAAGGTGCGTCGGTCAAAAGCTCGCCCTGAGTTAATGCCTGCTGGGCGGCGATAGTCCATGTGCAGTTCCTCCCTTCACCGGCAACGTGTGGTGCCAACAGGTTTGCCAACGCCAGTGTTTGACAAAACTCAGCGACGCACACGTCCACCCACCACGGCGGCACCACATCTCTGCTCTGCTGGCTGCCTCTCGTGAAGATCGCCCGTTGGAGGATCGATCCATCGGCCAAACGCTTCACATCCCCAATATTTACAACCCTCAACGACTCCTCGTCCTGCTCAATGTGTGGCAAAGGCGCAATAACATCCTTTTCTTTTTCGTCAACCGCACCACTCGGCAAACCCGTAAGAATCATCGTGGATATGGGCTGGTGCTCGCCACTGTACAAGGAAAAACGAAGATCTTTATGGCTGCGGTGCGACGATGGTGCCAGCTCCACCGCCCCCATTGCCGGATGCTCGTGCGTGAATGGGGCATATGTTGTGAGATACGTGCAATTGAAAAACCCCACGGCGTGCCAAAAATCCTCCATGGGGGCATGCAGCATCCTCACATGGCTGTCCCGCACGGGTCTCGGCGTTGTCGCAAACTCCGCAAGACTGTGCAGAAGCGAGTGATAGTAACGGCCCGAAACACCGCAGTGATGAAAAGGAAGGCGCTGAAACGGCATAACGGTTGGCTGCCGGTGAAAGTTCACGGAAAGCGCTGGACCCGAGAGTGTCTGATACGGCTGTGCGGCTGCAACAAGCAACTTCCATGGAAACTCCACCGCCGTACCTTTCACCGGGCGAATGGCCGATGTCATCCCTACCTCCTGTGTCTGTGTGTTTGTTTACGTATGCATGTCGTCAGCCAGAAGCAAAGGTGTCGGCATCAGCAGCAACAACAATGACAAAAGAACCAGGTCGGTGCATGGGGCTGCGGCTCACGATCGAGACGCGACCTTTCCCCTCTCCGCCCCGTCCGTCCTTTCACTCACCCGCCGCAGCGGGAGTGGTGGGAGCGAGTACAACAAGCAGCAGCCAAATAGAGTAGCCTCAACAAAAACAAATGACTCGTCCTCAAACCCCCACCCACCCCGCCAAAGCAAAAAAAAAAAAAAACAATTTCAAAAAACCCTTCTTTGCCTGCAGTAAAACTTGGGGAACACAGAGATGCCCGTACAATAAATAAAAGAAATTTTTAAAAAGGTAAAAGAGAGGAAAAGCCATGGGGGAAAAGAGGCAGGCACAAAACTTCTAATGATATTTAAACCCCACATGGACCAACCACCTCATTCTGCACTGCCCAACGTTGTAGATGATGTGTTCAGGGTATAACAGCGACGAGGAAATTCTGCTTTTCCTCACGCGGCCTTTTGGCCACAGCACACCATCCACCACTTCTGCGCCGGCCGGATCCGGGAAGTAACTCCCGACGCCTTTTGTCGCGTTTGTTCCCGGCATGGGATTCTCCATGTACTTCGAGTCCGTGAGCTCCATCTGCTTCCCAAGCGCAGCCTCGCACAGCAGCATGAGACCAGTTTTGGTGTCCCCCGACGGGTAGCAGTAGTTCGCCGACTTCGTGCAAACATCCGCCAAATAGATCCCTTTACCAAACATGTACCCTGTGCACGGGGCCTCCGGTGGGGCGATGCGCAGGCCCTGGGAGAGAATCCCAATGAAATTTGTGATGCGTGAGCCATGCCACAGCATTTGCCGGTTGCCGAGACGTTTGAAGGATTCATATGGATCGTCCTCGTCCTGGCGCCGCACCGTGAACACCTGCTTCACCTCAACTTGAAACCTGTGGGTGGGGCCTTGTGTGTTGTTCGCGTACTCCACAATGCGTCTGAAGTCTGGCTCGTCACGGGACAGGGGCGTTATCTCACAGTTCAGTCGGCGGTAAAGTTTGTCCAGCGGGTGGATCTCCTCCGGTGCCTCGGCGTTCAGAATAGACACCGCAACCTCCAATTTGCCCAGCGCCTCCAGCATCTCCATCTTCTGCCGCAACATGGACTCTGAACTGATGAGCGGTGGTCGCAAACGACCAAACGCGTGTGGAATCAGCGTGTAGAATTGGTCTGACAGCTCCTCCAGCCGCGGATTCGCCTTTTTTATCTCCGCCTCCAATGACTTCAAGAGGGAATAGGCGCGCGTAATTTGGGCCTGAGAGATTTTCCCCAGCGGCAACTTCTCCGTGTTGATGGCATACTCCGCCATCAACCTTTTCATCGTCTCCTTGCACCCAATGAGCTTCATGAGGCCCTGCACTTCGCCTGGAAGCTCAGAGATCACCGGATTCTTCGCCACCCCCTGTGCCGCCGAAGATTCCCCAGATTTTTCCGCCTCGTCCTCCGCCGCTCCATAATCAATGTCCATCAATTCGTAACGTCCCTTAACGGCATTAAACCGCGCACGCGACCCCCAATGGTTCGCGGTCTTCTGGCGAAACGTCTTCTCAAATAAATACAACGCTTGCCCAAGAGAAGAAAAAGTCACCGTTTTGTTCTGTCCGCCATAACCCACGCGACCCCACCGTGTGAAGACATGATAAATGGACTCAGCATCATCCTCCAGGAGCTGTATAATAAAGTACTTGTTGTTGTTGGCAGAAAAATGGGTCTGGTTCAGTGTGCATTGGTACACATCATTGCCTTTTTCGTACACGTGGCATGTGTCCACTTTACCCGAGAATGAGTCCACAACACCTCGGTCCTTCCGCAGCATCTGCTGAACCTTGGCTCCGGTTATATCGGTGGCCGGTGTCAGCGAGTTGCCACCCACGTTCGTAGCAGCGGGAGGCGCCGTTGCCGCAGCTGGAGCTGCTCCCATAGCAGGGATTATTTTCACCGTGTTGTTGACAGCAGGAAAAAGGGCTTTCCTTGCTGCGGAAGCTTTATTGGCTGCCGGAGCCTTCTTGGCTGCAGAAGCTTTCTTGGCTGCCGGAGCTTTCCTTACTGCGGAAGCTTTCTTGGCTGCCGGAGCTTTCCTTACTGCGGAAGCTTTCTTGGCTGCCGGAGCTTTCTTGGCTGCGGAAGCTTTCCCCGCTCCTGATAACTTCTTTGGTGACATGTTTACCCACCTTCTGTAAAATAACGTGTGAATTGCTCTCTCACCACAAGCGGAAAAAGAAAAATGAGAAAAAATCGAGAGTTTGTTTCAGGCGGCAGCAGCAGCAAAAATGAAAATGCAATAATGGCTGCAAGAACACATTAAAGAAGTGGGTCAGAACTTTCAATACGCGCCCATCTCTACCACCAGCACTAGTCCCCCACCATTCCTTCCTACCCTCCTCCTTTGGTGTTCCTGGCTGCTGCCATTGCTTCCACTGCTACCTCAGCTACTCTGCTTGGGATGCCAAGTAACGCGCTGGTTGAGTAACTCGGTGCGAAGTTTGATATTATCAGAGGTTAGTGCAAGCACTTGTCCACGCAGGTCGGATATGGCCTGGCGCAGACGGTATGTGTCGCGCCGTTCCGCGGCGAGCAGCAGGCACCATTGCTCCCTCTCCTCCAGCAGTTGGCGCCGGTCGTCCCGCAGCGCCGGTCCGCCCGCCAACGCAGCAGCAGCGCCACCCATGTTGTTGTCGTGGCGGGAAATGACGGACGCGGCTGTCTTTTCCTCCCCCGTCCCCTTCTTCTTCGTCCTGTGTTCCGCTCCCGCTTCCGCGGATCCGATCGTGGGAGAGTGGGGCGGTGGAACAGAGAAAGAGACGGCGTCCGCCCCCTCATCGTCGCTGTAGTCTTTGCTGAGGCACCGCGTGCCATTTGACGCGCCTGGCAAGCCGGTCTCTTCCGCAGCTGCTGGCACCGTTCCCCCCGCCGCTGTCAATGACGACGGTGGCGATGATGATGCAGCGGCGGCGGCGGCGGCGGCAGTGGAAGACTTCACGAACAGGCCCTTCGCGTTGGCGGAAACAAACGGCCGAAGCGCGTCGTGGTCCATCCCCGCCGCGGGCACGTCCCCGACACTTCCAATCAGCCAGCCAAACGTGCCGCGCATCCCCCGCTCAAACCCCTTCGGCCGCTCCAGACAATAAGCAGCGACGCTCAGCGCCTCCGTCGCCTCCACAAGACGCAGTGCGCCACAATCGCCACGGCCGCTTGCACCGTCACGGGTGGCAGACTGCAGCGCCGCCACAACTCCCGTCACATCGGCTGCCGAGTCCATAAAGAACAGCATGTCATACTCGGATGGGATCTTCAGCCCGACCTGCGGCAGCTCACCGTTCCACGCGTGCACCTCCGCAACGCTCCGCGTCGGTACACAGCGCTGAATGCTGCCATTCTCCACGCACGAGTACAGGTGCATGGATGTGATGACAAGAAAGCGTCGCTGACGTTTTCCCCGGCGATTGACTTTGGTTACCGCTACAAAGTGCACAATGGGCACATCCCTCAGGCAGCGGAAGGCACGCGCCAAGCAACGTGGGAAAAGAACGAGACCTTCACGCGTCTCCGGCATCTCTGCATCCGGCATCCCCCCTCAGTAAACCTCTTGCCAGTAAATAAACATCGCAAAACAAACAAAAAAAAAATAAAAAGTAGAGAAAAATAAAAAAAGATACCACAATTCATATGCAAAAGCAAGGGTGTCCTCCCGGCCCCCCAGCGTTTAGGGAAAGCATCGGCAGGGAATCATTCTCAATGCGTGGCGTTTTTTCTAAACCTCCCCAGACGTCCCCGACCACCGTCGTCTCCCATCACCCCCACCCCAAGTTCACGTTCATCCCCATCTACCAACTCACCAACACACACGCACGTATGCCCAGTTGTCCTCCCTTCTTGCGGCCGTAAACACTTCCATCCTCCCTCATGTGTGCGTAGGCACGAGCGCTGCGTCCGCTGAGGGGCTCAGATCCATATTCTCCAGATCCTCTATTGCCATGGAGATGATCTCCTCCACATCGCGGTTGATGCGGCCGCCGTTAGGGTCCTTCACCCGCCCATACTTGATGTTCAGCAATTGCATTAGAACGTCCTTGCGTAGCTTATCGGGGTCAGCCACATAGTTCTGCAGGTACGCCCCGCTCGTGTACTTGAGCACCTGCGTCACCTCGAGCGGCACCAGCCAGTCGGCGGGGTAATAATGCCGTGTCTGCTCCCACAAGAGAGGCAGATCATCGTGTGGCGCTTTCCCCTCGCGCAGCAGAACGATGCGTTGGTGCAGCAGGGGCCACGGTGGGCGGCGTGGATCATTCCTACGGCGTTTTTCCGCCTCCAGCTCGTCCGGTAGCTCAATTGGCCCGGCTTTCTTTGTCTCCTTCACACTCAGCACCGAGAGAAACGCGATGGAGGCAATGAAGCTAAACAGAAAAAGCGACTTAACGGTGTACGGCTCCAGCGGCTGCGCTTCGGTCCCAAAGAACTGCTTGGCGCTCACAAAACGACGGGAGGTTCGGCGCAGCATTGCGTATGCCGTACGGCGTTACCTGCTCCCTTCTTCTTCTAGTTGTTGTCTTTGTTGGTCCCTTTCCCTTAAGTGGTCTAAATGAGCCGCCTACGGGTGCCTATGAAAGCTTGCATGCATGACAAAGAGGCACACACAAACACACAAAAGGATAATAATAAAAAAGAATTTGAGAGGGTAAGGAAAAAAAGAGAGAAGGGCAAAAAAAAAAAAAAAAGCGGTTGGTGTGATAGCGTTTTTTTTCAGCCTCGCTGAGAACAGCAGCCTCATCCTCCACAATTAAAAAAATCGCGTGTGTAAAAGTCAAGATTTGGGTCATATTTCCTTCTGTTTGGGGGGGGGCTAAAAAGGGGGGAGGCGGAGGTTGTTGTGTTTTTTTTTTTTTTGTTTTTCCCCTCCTATTCTTCCTGCGTAAAGGAAATGCTCTTGGTGCGGTGGTTCGGCCGCCACCAAGTCGTCTTTTAGACTGCGGCCACTCTTGCCTCACACTCACACACAACCCCCAGACCATCTCTTGTCCACTCTCTCAGCCATATCCAGGCACAGCGAGGCATCTATGCAGAAAGGAAGGGAGGCATTATTATTCCTCCTCTCCTCTCGGCTCTAACCGCGGGCCCCGTGTTTCATCGGTGTGTGGCAAAGAGGGCAGTTGCGGAACCGGTCACCCTCCACGTCAATGATGCAATGGTGACACACCGCACACTGCCAAAAGTCCTCCGTCGTGATGCAGCGTCCAGTGAAAATGCAAACACCAAGCTGCTTCTGGCAGCGCGCGCAGGAGGACGCCCACTCTTTGACAAACGCGTCACACTTGGGGCACTTCACACGATCCGCAGAATTGTCTTCCGGCTTGTGCTTCGTGAATATTTTCGCCGCGAGGTCGGCAAAGCGGCGACGTGGCTCCCTCAGGCTCACAGTCGGGTATTTGAACTGCGTCGCCAGCGCCGTTCCCTTCGACCGATTTGTCAACTGCAGTGACGTCGTGGTTCCGCTCAGCCCGGTAGAGCCTCCTCCCGCCCCGCCGTGACTGCAGGCGTCGTTCCGGTGTGCGGCGCCCGTCTGTTTGGAGACGTCGAGATCCATCGTCATGTCGATAAATTGCAGCTGGCCGGCCACCGCGGGAGTACCACCCTCCTGTTGGTTTTGCTGCTGCGCATCCTTCTGCTCCGCCGCCTCAAGGCGAGTGAAGGCCTTACTGCAGATGCTAAAATTCTTCGCCAGGTACGCCGTGAGTGCAATGAGGCTGTAGCTGTCAACAGGGCTGATGAGATCGTCGTACTCCATCAGCCGCATCGCTACATTAAGTGCGTGCGGCAGGTTGCGGTGCAGGATGTGTTGTTGGCAGAGTAGGAAGAAGTGAAACGCCTCGGCGCCACGCCACGCAGCGTCCAGCACCCGCTCGGATGTCGCAGCTCGCTCTTCACTCAGCAACATGTCCACTGCAGCCGTGCCGTCATCGCTCAGCGCAACCTTCTTCTTGCGATACTTCTCTATTTCTAGCGCAGAGAGCACATAAAACTTTTTGGCCCGCAGCGGATCTGTAGCGGCAGCGCGTTGTCCCAGACGTGCAAGCAGTCGCGCCGCCTCCTCGTGTTGGCCAGCCTTGCGGTACAACTCAATCGCTTCCGGCAGCCGCTCACTCTCAATGAGAGACTTCGTGTGACGCGCTAGTTGCGGTAGAATATCCTTAAGTTTATGCGCCTCCGCAATAGCCACGGCACTATCCCATTGGTGCAACTGCACACAGCCGGCAACAGCCAATCGTGCCTCGCCTGCCGCAAGAAATGCACGGGATGCCTCGTCGCCAAGGCCGACGGCAAACAACATTTCTCCAATTTTGAGCAGTAGCCCTTTGTCGTGCTCTGCGCTTGGAATGAGTTGGGCGAGGAGGTCATAGTCCTCCTGCAGAAAGAGAATATGGGCGAGTTTGTGCAGCTGTCGGCACTGTGTGTAGTACTGGGAAGCCTTGGTCCACTTCTGCCGGTCGGCGTAGAAGTCACCAATGTTTTCCCACGCCCTCTGCATGTGAGACTCGTCCCCGCCTCCCTCCTGGACAAGCTGCACGACACGGAACCAGTCGCCCAGGCGGTAGCGCAGGTCCAGCACAAGATCCTTGCGGTCAATCTCCTTGTAGATCTTCTCTGCCTCATCGAAGCGGCCGTAGTAGGTGTGAATTTCCGCCCGCTGCTTCTGCGGGTCGTCAAGCGTTTTAATGCGTTTGACGAATTGTATGGCCGGGTAATCCTTGCTCCGGACAACCGCCATTTCCGCGTGATCAAAGTCAAGCTGCGCCAGTGCGTGTTCGGTGAGTAGGGCCCACAACTTGGGGTGCGGGTGGTTCTCCACGTACATGTACGCCTCCTTCATTGATAAATTCTGCAGCGCCTGCCGCGCCTCTCGCAGTTCCCTTGTCTCAAATTCAATGACATGTTCCTTGCGGGGTCTCTCCGGATCATGCATGATATCGTCCAGCTGTAGTGCTCGTACTTTGAGAGATTTAAACTTACAAATGCAGGCACGGGACTGAACGGGCTCCTCCGCCTCCGTGCCGCGGAATATGTACATGCGGGACTTTTCCAACACGGCAAAAAGCTCCGGGTCGTCTTTCGACCAACGCACGTTCCAGACGTCTTTGTGCTCAAAGTTAGGCTCCGGGGCAATCTTTTGAGGCACAAGTGACAGTTTCATAGGATCAATATGAAAAACCGTCATGGTGCCGCTCACATCTACCACCGAGAGACGTGTGGAATTCGAGTTGGCTGCCATCGACTGCACACGGGAGGGCAAAACCATTTTGCCGACAAGATGCAGCGGGGCAAAGCGGTACAACTGTAGTAGCCCGGACTCACGAGCAACGAAGAGAAATTCCTCACTGAGGCAGAGTGAGCAGATGAGATCATTCGTGACCGCCGTGTGGGTAACCAGTGACGGTGGGCTATCAGGACGAACAATGTCGTCCACATGCACGATGCGATCCCGTGTCTCACGGCGGCTCGCCTGCACAGAGATGGGATCCAGTAAGTCCAGAACGACGTCCGGGTCACGGAACTGCCAGACGTAAATGTTTTCCTCGTCTGATACCACAATGTGTGAGGAGTTCATGCCGCAGACAAGCGGCTCCAAGTCCATCATCCGCACCTCCAGAGGACTTCCAATGGCATTCAACAGTTGCACAACGCGATGGGACCCATCCGCTGACGTGTTGACGATCATGCAGACGTCCTTGCAGGAGTCGATATAAAAAAGCCCACGGATGTAGCGGATGAAGCGCTCGTTACTTCGTGTGTTCCAAAACATAACGCCCTGCTCCGCACGGTCGGAGCGGTAAAACGCAAAAACAACGGTCTTGGAAAAGTAGGTGTACTTGTACGCGGGCCGCACATTCGCAAAGTACAAGGCGGCGTCAATCGCAATGCAGACACGAAGTCCATCGCCCTCCCATGTCACCCCGCCGCAGTGCTGCCCCGAAACCCGCAGCGTACGCAGGTGGACGCCCTCCGTGTTAAAGAACTGCGCCACCACCAGCGAACTCGACGGCGAGGATGGCTGTGACGCTGGCCTGTCGCCCATCATGGCCGCCGTGGAAATGACGCCACAAACGACAATGGTCGTCCCCTGCGGGTTCCACGCGATACAGCTCACCGGGATGCCGCTGTCAATGAGGTAAGGGCGGTTGTCGTTGATGTCACGCATCAACTGCATTCGTCCATTCGCGTAACAGACGGCGAGTGTGGCGGGAGGGTCGGGACTATCGACCCACGCGGGATGCCACGAGAGACCGCTGAGTGACTCCACCCCTTCCAGGCACGAGATGCGCAGTTGGCACACCGCATGCCCACCATCGCTTTCATTCACAAGTACCTCACCATTTTTTGTGCCAAATAAAATGTACCGATCGTCAGGGCTCCATGTCACCTTTGCAAGCTCACGTTTGACGTCTTTTCCCCACAGGCGGTTACCGTCGACACCCCCAACAATGACGGCCCCATCTTCGTAAATGATGCACACTTTTGTGCCATCGGCGCTCCATGAAAGATCACACACGGTGCTTTTGTTGCGATTATTTATCATCTCCTCCATCCACATGCCTTTATGCAGTGTCCATACAATGATCTGTCCACTCTCATCGCTGGATGTAAGCTTACGGTACTGATGGTTCCATGCCACCACCGAGACGTCTGCTGAATGCCCTTCAAGCGTTTGATTCACCAAAAGTGCCCCCTTCGCACCGATGCTGTTGTCGATCTTCAACACCTTCAGCAGCCCACCCCTGCCACCACACGCCAACCATCCCTGTTCCTCATTCCACGCAATGGATGTAATGACTGTACTCGTCGGTACCGCAACACGTTTGCTGAAGTATACATTCATCACGCTTTCCTTCCTTCCTTCCTTTTTTTTTGTTTCTTTACCTTCCGCCGTCTCTTCCTTTTACTAATTCTGTTTCTTATTTTGGTTTTTCTTCTTCTTTCCACTGCAGCCCCGACTTTGTGTATGTATTGTATTGTATGTGTCTATGGTAGGCTGCCACCCCACCCCACTCCTATTGTCGTTCTGCTGCTCGCTTCTTGAATTGTCTTTGTTCCTTCTTCTACAATATATATATATATATTATTCCTCCTCTTTTCTCCTTTTTTTTTTTTTTTTTTTTTTTTTGGCAGCAGGGCACCAATGCACACACATGGCGGCAAAGAGGAAAGAAAGAAAGAAAGAACACAAACACACAAAAAAAAAGTAAATAAATAATTGATAAAAGAATCGAGCAGGAGGCAAAGCAGGCACTCATCCACACTTTCATGCTCACAAATGTGTGCATATATATATATGTGTGGGTAAAGAGAAAGAGAGAGAAAAAAAAACAATTCTACAGACTTCATCGCAGCTTGTGTAGCAGAAACATACACAAAGAAACTAACAGAAAAAAAAAAAAAACGTGTGTATTTCTCCTTCATGATGCTTGGCCCAATGCCTCTCCTTCCGCCTTCGCAGCCACGGATGGTTCCGCAGGTGTGGATTGGCACGCCGCTGCATCCTTCCCAAGGCGCTTGCAGCATTTGTACCCCCATCGGAACCCTTCTCGATCAAAATAACTGCCGTACACGCATGCGTGACCGTTTCGCGTAGCCGAGCCAATACGAACCTGAGGAAGATTTATCGGTGTTGTCATGGAAGACAAAGCCAATGACGATGATGATGCCGCCTGCGGTGATGATGACAACGATGCAGCGGAAGCAGCAGCAAAGCCGGCAATTGCCTCCCTCATGCGCAGAGAATTCTCTGCGGAGGCACATGAGGACTCTCCGTAAAGTGATCGCAGTAACCGATCCCGCGTCATTTCCTCCTCTGTGTCAACGCTGCGGTTTTCATTACTACTACTGTTATTATTGTTATTATTATTACTATTGCCTTCATCCTTCTGCTGCTGCCGCTCTTGTCGTTTCTGTTTCTGCAGCTGTTCATCCAGTCTAAAGTCAACAATCGACTTTGACTCGCCGTTCAGAAATCGTAGCTGCATGTCAAGATATGTGTAGTAGTCTCCGGTGCGGTAGCGCTGCAGGTCCCCTTGGAACGTCCGGGTTGGATCCGCCGCGTTCGGGTTTCCACGCATGGATCCCGTCTTTGGGTCGAACATTGCGCTGTCGTCGTCAAGGTTGTGCAAGTGCTTCGGCAATTCTTTGATCTCCGCCCCTTCGCCTGTCACGGCAGTCTGCGTGGCAAACACGTCTTGTAGTCGCGGATGCTTTTTTACTATCATCTCGCCGTTGGCATGCAGATTCCCGGTTGCTTGCGTTTCTTCCTCTCCTTCCTGTGATGACTGCTGCAATAAGTCCACGCCGCTAGCACCCACAGCATACCGGTCACGCTTTTGCGCATAACTTTTTTCGGTCCGTTCCACATGCATGTCGACAGATGTCACCTTGCCACTGTACATTGCGCCTACCTTCTTGCGGGGTTTGTAGCACTCACTTGTCTTGTGCGTGCTGGAGCCACAGTTACCGCAGGCCCCAGCTGAGTACGTCTTTGCTTTTCCAAGCACCACGACCGTGTCATGTTGATCCTGAAGCCTGTCCATCGTGTCGACGCACTTTAGGCGCTGGTGGTCAAGAGTGGGGCCGGTGGTGCCGTAGTACCACGGAGCCTGTGAAATAAGCTGCGGTACATTTGGGCTAATCTCATTGCCTGAAACTTCATCCACAGCGAGCGGTGCAAGACCAAACTTCCGTTTCTCCTCTAATTCGCGCTTCAACCGCAGGCGTTGACGCACCGTCATACCGGCCTCCTCCTCCGCCGCTGCTGCTGCAGTAGGAGTATTATTAGTAGTGTTCTTCTTTGTATTCAGCATAATAACTGGAAAATAAAACCAAATCTACATATATATATATATATATATATTTATATATGTAATAGATAGAAGAAAAAAAAAGGATGAAAAGTGGGATGGTGACAACAACGGCAACCTTTCCCCCCCCCCCCCCCCCTCACCACCACCACTTCCCCGCAGTAATAATGATAGCAAAAATTTAAGAGGTCATGTGACAAAAATAAAACGACGCTCTTATTTGAGAGATTAAATAAGTATGCCTGAATATATATATATATATATATATATATGTATTTTGTATGAATGCGTACATGTATGTGCTAGTGTATAAACCCTTTCTTCGTATGCATTTAAGTATGTGTGCATGGATAGACACACTCAAAGGCATCCCATATGTACCACATGCACGCCACCATTACCCATACTATTATATACATATATATATATATATATATGAGGAAGGGAGAGGAAAGAAAGAGAATTAAAAAAAAAAAAAACCTTCCGTGTCGCCCCCACCACAAAACCTTCTTTTTTTCATTTCCTTCTTTTTTCCTGCTTGTTTGATTGTTTGTTTGCCCTTTTTTTTTTCCCTCTCCCCTTTCTTCTTCTTATATATATATATATAATAAAAAAATAAAAGAAAAAAGAAAAAGAAAGAAAGGGCTGACGCTTCAGCCAGTTTTGTTTCTTCTCTTTCCCCATTCAATGAAGTCATTCATGGCATCTGTGAACATACACACACACACACACACACACATACATGCATGCATACACATACAACAATACACGTGGAGGTGCAACAGTGGTGCTGCTGCTAGAGGAGGCGTTAATCGCAACTCATGCAAGCACGCAAACGGCCGCTGTGCCCCAATATATATATATACGCACGACTGCGTTTTCCTATTGCGGCATCTCACATCTGCGGTGCGGTACCACGCGAAACGTATAATTGATAAAGCGGTGGGCAGAAGTTTGGGCCGTAGATGTCAAATATCTCCTCAATTTCCTCGCTACCGGTAGGGTCGGAAAAGAAATCCTGATGCAACGCCAGGCAACGGTTAAAGACGGGGGTTAAAATCTTCGGATCCCGCACTTGAAACTTCGCAAGGGACCAAAGCAGTCGGCGTGCCTCACCTGCGTCAATTTGGCGGCACACGTATACGCTACGCTCTGACAACGCTACCGCCATATCCTGCTGTAAAAAGTTCGTTCTTGCAAAGGCATGGGCGGTATTCACAAGCCCCAATGCATCGAACTGGTCGGCAATACTCGCGGCGTGGGAGGCGAGACGTTTGAAAAGTTCCTCATCCTTCAAACCAAAGTGGGCAAGTGCCGTGACGGTTTTGGATATGTCACGTGCGTCGTGGTCTTGCACCACCGCAAGGGCCCGCTCAGCCAAGTTATCAAAGAGCTCCGGGTTGTTAATACCAATGCGCTGAAAGGCGTTAAGAGTTGTGCTGATGAATTGCGCATTAAACTCATCAATAAGCTCCACCGCACGATTGGTGAGAACCCCAAAGAGTTGATCGTAGCGGATACCAAAGTATGCAAAGGCCATGAACATACTCGCCACCTGCTCCGCGTTCATCTGATCCACGTACTCCATGGCTTTGGTGGCGAAGCGTTTACTGAGCTTTGGGTCCTTGAGACCAATCTTCGAAAAGGCAACAATGAGCGGTACAAGTTCATTCACCGTAACACGCTCCCGCAGCGACATGGCGCGGCGTGCGATGGCGCCGAAGAGAAACTTATCCCGGTACCGTAGCCGTGAGAAGGCGTTCGCTATGATGACAAGATGCGCCGCCTCAAATTCGCCCACGCGTGCAAGGGTCTGGACGCGTTTTGAGAGAAAACCAAACAATTTCTCATGATTGATGCCGGTTTTCGAAAAGGCGCTGATGATGTTTGCGACGCCCTTTGAATCCAAATACTTCGCATTCCGGGCGGCCTTCTGTGCCTGCATTTCAATCACCTCACGGGCATCGCGTGACTTCAGGGTAGCGCAGGCGGTGACGACAATCGGCAGGACATCGACGGTGATAAGTTTGTCATTCTTCAGGCAGTAGTCGATGCACTCACGTACGAGCTTCGCGTCACTCTCCATACCAAAGTACACGGCGGTGTTAAGAAGCAGCGCGACGGAGCGGGCGTCAAGACTTTGGCCGGCGATGGACGTGGCGAAAAGGACACGGCGTGCCTGTTGCGCCAGCATCGGGTTGCCGCCCCGTTCTTGATGTAATTTCTTCATCTGCAGCGCCTCCATCGCAATGTTGCGTGCGGAGAGCTGCGAGCCGCCCTGCGGATCACTCGGCAATGACAACTCCCCGCCGTGAATGGTGCCGATAAGTGAATTGCTCTGGCAGCGCACACCGACAAGAAGCGCTGCAGCGGCAGCATTATTGGTGGTGGTAGTGGTGGCAACAACACGCTGCCGCAGATGATGATTATGGTGCAGGCAAGTTCGCAGAATGCACCGCATCCTTCCTATCTAAAAAAAAAAAAAAAAAAGATGTATCGTTGTTGTTGCTGTTGTTGTTTGTGGCGATGATAGTGGTGGTGGTGGTGCTTTTTTCTTTGTTTCCCCCCGTCTTCTCTTACTGTGAAACGGAGGGGAGGAAAAAAAAAAAAAGAAGAGACATAAAAGAAATAGATAAAGAGAAAGAGAGAGAGAGAGAAAAAAAAAAAAAGTCCATAAATAATAGAAAGACACATCCCCATCCCTTCCTTCCCTTCCTCCCACTCTTTTTTTCTTTTTTTTTTTTTTTTTTGTAACACACACACAGACACAGACACAGACACAGATATATATATATATATACGCCATGTCGTGACGTGCGTCTGTCGGCGTACGACATGTACGATACGTAATGACGTGTGGACGCCAAAGAGAGAGAGACAAATAAAGGATTGTCTGCATGTGTGTATTCTACCACTTCATGGGAAAGTCGCTGCTGATTCCGCTGCTGCTGCTGCTGCATCAACACTTTTTGCGCGAAACACGGCGCAGTGAAACGGTGTAACGTACAACTCCTTCGGTATCCGCTGCAGAATGCGGCTCTCGCGACTGAGTTTCGTAATCGCGTCATTTGTTTCTTCGCAGCGTACCATAAATCCCTCTGTTTCAGGGAAAAGGCGCTTCAGTTCCAGTTGCGACAAGGCAAAAGGCGGCCCACGTACCGTGTTGCCATGTACTCTGCCGGTGCGGAATATACCCTCAACGTACATCACCCCATCCTCTGCAAGGGCCTGTCTCATTAAATAGGCGTAATCCTCACGTTGTTCGCGATTCAGGGATGTCATCGCCTGTCGCTCGTAGATGAAATCAAACTTCACGTCCTGCAGTGGGCCTTGCCAGAGCTCCGGGGCGAATATGTCGCGCCAGTGCAGGTGAATACGTTTGTACACGTCAATTTCGAGTGCACGTTCGGTGCGTTCTACGCATGCCCGTATCGCCGTCTCGGATGCATCCACGGCGTCCACCTCAAACCCGCGCACCGCGAGTTCCTTCACGATTGGTGAATCCCCGCAGAGAGGCACGAGAGCGCGGGGCCGCCGTTTGCAATCTCGCCCGCGCTTAAAGGCGTTGCCGTCGTAAATGTCCCGCCCAGTCACAGCACGCACAAAGTCAAATGGGCCGCGGTAAAACGTGCTTGTCGACTCACCAGCACGCCAAAGCGGGTTGCCTTTGCGCCACTCGTTCTCCCACCACACCGGGGATGTGTGCGGCATGGCGGACGGTGGCACCGGCACAAACTTGTAACCGAGCATCTCACGGTATTCGTCCACAAGCCACGGGCCAATGAAGACAGCTGCACCAAGCAGAATACCGCCCACGACGATCCAGCCCTGCAGACGACTGGCGGTGATGGCGTGGGGCACCCAACTACGCCCTTTACCATCGCCATGCCTCTTACGAAAGCGGTTTAGGAGGATTTGGCCTTCAAGCTCGTCGCCGGACGGAAGCGAAAAGCTGGCGCGGCGCAACACACAACGCTGCATTCACAACACGTACGTTTTAACTGCTTCTCACCACCAGTAAATAATAACTCAGACCTCCCACCCTCCCCCTCCTCCGCCGGTGTGTGGTGGCGGCGCCAGAATTGAAATGAAAGAGAGAGAAAAGGGCCATAATTATTATTATTTTTTTTTTTTTGTGTGTGTGTAATGCAATGGAGTGAAAAGAAAAAATAGGTAAATAAGTGGAAGGGCGGTGCGGTGCAGGGTCCAAACTGCATTTAAAACGTTTACCCTCCTCCTTCTCTTTCCAATCGCCTCCCCCACTTTTTTTTTTTTCGTTGCTGTTCCGTTTTTTTCTTTTTTTCCAATCATTATTAATTCCTGCTGTGGGTGTTCTCGTTATCATCATCATCATCATCGCACCCCCAACCATCATCTCATATTTACGTTAGCGAAGCGCAGCGGGGACACACTGCGCCAGGGCGAGCAGCACATAAATGTTGGCGTGGAACTCATGGAATGCCTTCCCGAGTCTCACGCCTACCATGCCATCCTCCTGGTGAAGTATATTCTGGTGGATGCATGCCGTGTAGTCGTAGGTGATGACAACATCCCGCAGTGCAGCTGCCATTCCAGGCACCTCCATCACCTCCAACGCATCCCTCTCAGCCTCGTCAATACACCACGCCTCGCCATCGTGCAATTTGTCGCCCAATGAAGGATGCACACGCAACAGGCACTGCTTGAACTCTGCCAGAGCAGTGGGAAGGGCATGATCTATATGACGTCGATTGCTAAGCGTCGTTAGAGTCGAAAGCATACTGCGGTCGGCACGCAGCACAATGCCGCGCAGCATCGCAAGGGCCTCCCGAACACCCTCGTGTTCCTGACGAATAGCGAGAGAAGAACAGAAACGCGACGATGGTGATGCTGGCGGGGTGATAGCGCCAGCAGAAAACACATCCAGAGCAGTAGTAGTAGCAGTAGGCATGGAGGTGGTGTGGGCAGCCTCCTCCAGACAAGTCGCCAGTGACAATGGCGGAGGTACACGCCGGAATGTCTTTGGGCCGCGTAGCTCAACGCCGGTGTGAAGTTTAATAAAAGGACGAGTTGTCGCCTTCGGTTTTGCTTTCGTGGACAAAGATGACGAGGTGAGAAGCAACGGCGATGACAGCCGGTGGGACCCACACCGCGCTGCAGAGGATTCTTGTCTTCGCTGTGCGGCGATTGGGGTGCGGCTCGCCCCACGACTCACGCAAGACGCCATGGAAAAGACACGCGGCCCAGGTGACATCACATGCTCAGTAGAAACAGCAGCAGCCGTAGCGGTGTATATGCACGGTGACGGAGATGACAGCACCCGCCGCTTCTCCTGCGTCAATCTCGTTACCCCTGATTTTGTCGCCTCCGCCATGCATGTCGCGAGGGACTCGCCGCTGTTTCTTTTTTTTTTCGTCAGGCCAACACGCTCCAGGGCCTCGCTGCCTCCCCGCAGACTGAGCAGCAGACGACGCAATCGCAGGACTTCGGCTTTCAGCTCAATGACTTTCTGCAGACGGAACTCCGCAAGGCGATTGGCGCCGTCTAACTCAACCCGCAGCGCCCTGCCGCCGCCTGCAGCATCCATGTGCACAGGCCCAAGGATGCACAAAGGGGGAATTCCACTACACGACGACGGCAGCGGTAAAAGACGAGGTCCAAAGCCATTGGTGAACGAGAAGCAACAACAACAAAAAGAAAAAAAGAGGAGGTTTCGGTGAGAAGTGGAACCAGTCAAACCTAAAAAAACACAAAAGTGAAAAAGAAAAACTAAACACAAAAGCTCAGTAATAGAAGGAGAAAGGAGAAGAAGAAGAGCAGACATGCAGGCATCAGCCAAATGAACACACGGCGGGGTGTCAGGCCGCCTGCAGGAGCGACAGCACCTCGGCTCGCGTGATGGTCATTTCCATTCCCGCATACAGAGGCCAACGAAGCAATGTCTCCAAGAATTCAATCTTCTGCAGGAGTAATGTGGAGAAATGCTGCCAGACATGCTGCAGAAGTGCGCAATGAAACAATTTTTCCTCCTTTCGATCCGCAACATCGCGAAGAAAATGTTTTTTCATGCGACGAGAGCTGGAAGAAATGCCGCTACGCACCTCCCGCGGTAAACATTGTAGAATACGGCCCATGGCCTCAACGGAGAGAGCGTTATGGTGCCGCAGCTCCTCGCGTGAGTGAGACTGGGCGAGGTCCTCGGCGACAAGCGCAAAGTTGCCAAACTCTGGAAAGTCCTTCACAAGTAGAATACGAGTGAGGTAAACCTCCTCGTAATGATCCCGTAGTCTTCGTGACGACTCGTATCGCTCCCGTAAGAGCTCTACAGCGTACGCGGTGGATGGCAAGGAGGTATAAAAGGTACAGAAAAATGCATGGTGGCGGTATTGTTGAATAATACCACGTTTGACGGGGTTGTTGTCAAGGCCCCCAAGCCAACTACTCGCCCGTTTTTCAATGGACTCAACAAAACTTAACTTCTTCTCCCTGCGTGGCTCTGTGCCGCCAAAGTTTGTGATGTAATTAAGTGCCTCAAATGTCTGATCCACAAAACTCAGAGTAATCGATGCATACTTGCTGCGGTTACAGACGGCAGGTGGCAGGGCGTTATGTACGGTCTCCATGTGGTGTATAAAAACAGGCAGTTTTGTAAAGCAACTTAACATCCCGCGGGGGTCCACCACGTGACGCTTTCGACAGGTGGCAATAGAGGTGGTTTGCTCCGCGATGCTCCTTGAAATGGTAGAAGAGACGACATGCTCCAGAGCCTGAAGCAACATCTGGCAGAAGGAACTTTCTGCAGTCGGGGTCCCGTCACGACGATATGCACCCAGCATGGCCATAACCGGTACGGCATACAGTCGATCACACTTTTCCCCGCAGTACTCTGCAATTCCCACAAGTTGTCTTAATAAATAACATCCCTTTTCTGTCTGTACGGCATTATTCCCGCTAGCACTACTGCAACTCTGTTTGTTGTTGTTGTTTACACCAATCAATCCCACATCGCCATCTTGCCGCCAGGAATAAGAAGAAGAAGAAGCGCCCGCTTTGCTGGGCGGAAACTGCACTAACTTGTCGCCACCAAACAACTCCAGCAAGGACTCGTTCAATAACTTCGCTGCATTTTCCTCACATGCCGGCAAATGATCATCATCGAGGGGTCTTGATAAACCACTCGTGTCATCCTCCGTTGGGGCCTTCTCTATAATCCCAAAACACTGCTGTAAAGTTTCCTTCTCCTTTAGAACAACAGAAAACGTGGTCTCAAGCACCATAGCAAGAGCTAAATCGGGCCGGAGTTTACCAGCAAAAGTGCCCGTCCATCCAGATGCCAAGGAAGTGAAAGAATAAGAAGTGGCAGCAGCAGGAATAGCATTGGGAGTTGCCCCAGGAGTAGCGGCAGAAGTGGCAGCATCTGCACGGACGTTCGCCACATCGTAAAGTCGCAACCCTTCTTCTCGAGCTGTAGGCAACTCAAGGCATAATGTTCCATCTTCGCCACCATCTCCCTCGCCAGTATGTGGTGTGAGTGTCCAACTTGCAGCTGGTGTGGAAGCCACGCTGCTACCAACGCCCCACAATCGTCGCGGCGTCTCTCCCCCTGCTGCTGTTGTTATTGTTGTTGTCTCCATGCGGCTGTTAAGTGCCTCATCCATGGAATAATCCCGTGTGCCAAGAAGAAACGGGCCACGGGAGCCAACCTTCTTCACATGCGTCCGCACGTGTTTAAAAAATTTTTGCATTTCCAAAGCGTAAATGCGTTGCATACTCACACGATAACGACGAAGCACGGCAATATAACCTTCTAAATCAATGTACAGCAGTGCTGTAAT